TTCGTGGTTTGAGATTTTTTTTCAGGATTTTTTTCATGTCAGAGGTTTAGCACAGTAGAAGGAAAATAGTAAGTAACATTTTATACAAAAATTAAGCAATTTCTTCATCGACCTTCAACAATGTTACCAAGTTACTTTAAAAGCTTTTGTATTCTGCAATATTATGAAATGTAATTGTGTTAAATTGTCTAGCTCGCCGGTGGGGACTTTGCCTGCTCCCCGTTTATTGTCCTTAATAGCGTAGAGTGTCTTTGTTTTTTATAACTAGTACAGCAGATTACTATCCATTGTTATACATCATAGCTACTTCAAGCCATTTCCTCGATATTTCCTTTCTCTTACGAGGAGCTACTTTGAGGGAGTCAATATCGATTACTGACAACATGCAATTTTTAAATCTATTCAGAAGTATTAAAAACTAATCGTTATACGGCGAAATTAATTTAGCTGCCAACTTGATAGAAAAAAAAAAAGCCTCCTCACTTTGATGCTTCTGAAAAAAAGGGCCCTTCTATTAATGTGAGATGAAGCGTAGCGACAGAGAGAGAATTTTCGAATTTGGAATGGTGACACTTTGTCTTTTAGAACCTCTTTTTAATGGTTATACTGCAAAATTAACGACGTCAAACCTTTTTTTCCGGCAAGAGTGCGCCCCCTCCACCTCCCCCTCTCCCTCCCCGCTTCTGGCGCATATAGTACCCGCTACCCGCTTATGGTACCTGAAATGAAACCACGTTTACCTTAAGCCGTCACTCCTGCTCGAAATCAGCCCGATTCTTGATTTTGTGATTTTGATGACTGACGATCACGCACTTGAAACAGACGTGGACCTTACAATCCTCACACAACATATCTTTGTTCTCTTGTTTGTGGATGCAGCATTTCTCAGATAGATGACCAACGCTGACTTTCCCGTTGATGATATCCTGTAGGGATACAATCTCGTGACCTTCAAAGACGACTGTAAGATTTTGATGACAATCCATACACTTTTCACACATGTATTTATTACACGTTCTGCAGAATGATATAGCATCTCGCTGAAACTTGCATGCAGTGCATTTTGGACGCATCTCAAGGACAGCATTCACCCCTCCACACTTGGCGTGGTACTCGTCTACGAGTCTATTGACAGTCACATTGGTGAGGAAATCATTGACGCGGTTCACAGACAACTTGGTGATATTCCGGCAGAGAGGACAGATCATGTGGTCAAGGTCCTGATGGGACAGGTCATAGTTCCTGAGACATTTCCGACAGAAGGTGTGTCCGCATGAAGTCAAGATTGTTGCCTCGTCAAAGATATCAAGACATAGTGGACATGTTAGGTTCTTTGAAAAGCTTGGAGCTTTCTCTTATTCAGTCTTCTCAACCATTGGCGTAGTACCACCGAATCCTGTTAGATCACGCCAAAAAGAAAGAAATTATACCAACACTGAACAAATTAAAACAAATCTGAGTACTATGATCTTGACCTTATTTAGAAGTATCTACCGTAACTTGATTGTTGTCTTTTAATCAATAAAATCAGAGAGAAAAGAACGTTTTTGTTTGGAAGTCCATGTAAGAAAGAATCCAGTGTGGATCAGGGGTGAGTCCCAGGTCTGTGAACCACAAGGTACAGTGTTCAAATCATTGATGCTGCACTAATGTCCTTTGGCAAGACATCCCTGTAATAAGAACAAATTATATCAAATAACATAAAATTAAGGGCCGTTCCAATTCAACAATATATATAAATGTAACTATAGTCTTTGGTTCAGAGTAAGAATCAGGTAAGTATTGTCAAAGCATGTGTTGTACAATTTTCTTACCTGTAGTTGTAAGATTTGTTTTTGTTCCGTATAATATGTTGGTATAGAATTGTTATGTATTGGTATATGCCTTTTTTTAATAATATTTGTAAAAATTTGTACAATTCAACATATGCTGCGAGACAGATCTTGATTAATATACATGTACTGTTAAATAATAAATTAATAAAAATAATAAATAGTAGTACTTGGGAGTGTTTCACAAAGACTAAGATCGACTTTAAGTTAGACTTAATTATGGCAGGCCATTTATGCCACTTATGCCTCTGTTTTTACTCGCACTGGACTTAGCATATATATTAGAAAGATTAAATGAGAACTTACCATTTGAAATTTAATCGTTATTTTAAGAGTAATTTGTAGGGAGAGATTACATGAGATCCCGTGATGCGCATGCGCGGTCAATATTTGCAGTACAAATGTACCTACAGTTAAAAACAAGAGAAAGATTAAGCTAATGAGAACTAACTGAAGTCTAAGAGCAAGGCAGGGAGAGGCGGGCATGTAATCTCTCCCTACAAATTACTCTTAAAATAACGATTAAATTTCAAACGGTAAGTTCTCATTTAATCTTTCTATTTTACTATGTAATTTTTCGTGAGAAATTACACGAGACTTTGTAGCTCTGTAGGTACATTTGTTTACCAATGAATACTATGCATGGGTCACAATAACCAAGTAAGGAAAAACAATGGCTTGGGGAAGAAACCCAAAAGTAAAACTTACATGTGCGGAAAAACACAAAATAAATTTACCATGACTTAAAATTCAGGAGTGAGTTCCCAGCCGAGGTAGGGCACTGCTTTGATGTCTGTCCTTCTGATGGAGTGTCTGCCCTTGATGGGGCTGGTTGCCTAAAAAAGGCTTGTTGGATTTACAAGCCTTGGGTTGTGATCGGCTGGAATCATGATGTCTGGAGGACAACGTCCATCCCGCATCATGGTACTTGGACTTGTGTGATTTGGCGTAGGGTGATAATGCTGGCTGTGCTGACTAGAGCCGAACTTACTTTGCGGCCTCATTACCCACGCTGTCGCCTTCTGTTGTTCCTGCAAATCTTTCAGTAACTTTGAAAGATCATCACCAAAAAACTGTTTCCCCACCATCGTTGTGGGTTTGCATAGGTGCGTGAAGTGAGCGTTCATGTCTGGCCTGATCAGATGCTTGCGAAGGGAGTTAAGTTCAAAATTGGCATTGCTCAACAGAGCCAAAGCATCCTGCTGTGAATCAGAGATAACGTTATCAGACGCATCAAGTAAACGCAAGAAAGCCACCAACCCTCTAATGAGGGAGAGCTGTACCCTCTGCAATTTAAGGTCTCTATTTTTTGTACCGGATTTCAAGTTGTCCCTAATTGGGGCATTCACTTTGGGTACGACAAGCATAGGGCAGTTGCTGGGCGTAACATACTTTTCTTCAGTCTCATTTAGGGTTTTCCCCTCCAACTGGTGTGAGATTAAGTAGGTTGCCGAACTGGCCAAATCGTTATTCACTGGTTCTCCAATCTCACTGGATTGTGCAAATTTTGCTGCTAGCTTAGGTACAACTAGCTCTTCCTCCTTTTCATGGTCGGAAAAATCCTCACGATGATCATAGTCATACACCTCAAAGGCTTGACCGGCAAGAGGTTCATCGATGTCTGAGGTATCCATAATGTCAATAGGCTCTGAAAAAGAGCGCGAAGTACCCGGGCGTGGACTCGGCTGCGCCGTAGTCGTCTGCGGTAGATTGTCCATGACTTTGCCCAAAAGAGCTTCGAGTCTTTCTAGTATATCCCCGAAATCGGGTTGGACTGCCTTTTGAGGCTGTGGTGATTTCTTTGTCACCTTAGATTTCCCTTTGTCGGATTTGATGGAGCCCCCTTTGGGTTTGTTCTTGCTAGAAATAGAATCTTGAATCGAGCTCGACGGCTTCGAAACGTTCGTAGCTCGATCACTTGCAGTACCGGTACCCCCGACAGTAGCTACATTACTCCCGTGCCCGCGGCCAGAGCTAGGGCGTGCGTCTGGCTGTGCCGACCTCTTGCCCGCTGCTGTTTTCTCCGTCAATGAAAAATTCTCTTCCATAGTTGGAAAATGACGGAGTAACTCCCAAAATCGAGGAAAAGAATGAGTAATTAATAAATAAAAACTCAATCACAAACTGTGGCGAACGGCGAAAAAGTCGTTTATGGTATAAAAACGGAAGAAAACAGCAAGGAATCACAGTCGATGTTGTCGGACCGCCATTTGCAAAACGAATTGACCGCGCATGCGCATCACGGGATCTCATGTATATTTCTCACGAAAAATTACGTAGTAAAATTTACTGTAAATTAACGAGGGCTTTGTCCACACACCATTCCTGCAATTCATGACACTCCTTGTAGTTAATCGCCTCACCTACCATCCCAGTATGGCTTCCTGAATGAGCTGCCAAAAGGATTATCCAACCAAGTAACCAAGTACCATTGGTCTCTAAATTATGATCTTTAGATAATATTTTTTCCTTCAACAATGAGCTATCAATAAAGATAAATTGTTAAGTATTGTGGAGATTGTACACACAGTGTATGCGGGCAAGTACTGAATCCAATGACCGGGGTAATAGTATATTTCTAAAGCGCTTAGAGACATTTGTATTAAGCACTATATGAAAGCTAAATATTATTATTATGCTTTGAATGTCCCTTGAGAAACCAATGCCAGGAATGGTTAAAGGAACTAGTGGCATGAACGGCCTGTCATAGTTAAAGATAAACTTGAGTTCTGGTCTGCATTGGGAAAAGATAGTGTGGAATGGATCAGAAAAAGTTGATCGTGTAGCATGTACAATGTAAGTGTTGGTGTGCACTGCAAGGTTTTGGAGTCATCAAATCATAATAAATTTGGCCCAGTCTTGGTAAAGTAACAAGCACTGTACACAGAAAGATGTATATGGGACTACACAAATGGTGTCGGGCGTACTAACCTTGATTTCCTTATCTTTCTATGCTCATTACTCAGCCAGTATACATTTTTTACCAAAATTGTTTGGCAAATGACATTATTTGTAATCTTGAACATTTATTGTAAGTTTTGTTTGATTCTGTGAGAATTCTTTTTTTTTTTTTTAACAAAACTCAATTTTATCTTAAAGTCCAACTTAAAGTCGATGTTAGTCTTTGTGAAACACTCCCCTGTACTACTAAACACGAAAGAGTGCATGATGTGTGACTGCTGTTGTGAAATTTTCTTACCTGCAGTTGTGTTGCTGTTAAACGAGAAAGAGGAAGCAGCCTGTGTCTGTTGCAGTTGGTTGAGGGCAGTGCCAAAGCTGAATCCCCCTGACGCTGGGGCAGTGCCAAAGCTGAATCCCCCTGACGCTGGGGCAGTGCCAAGGCTGAGGCCCCCTGACGCTGGAGCAGTGCCAAGCCTGAGGCCCCCTGACGCTGAGGCAGTGCCAAGCCTGAGGCCCCCTGACGCTGGGGCAGTGCCAAGCCTGAGGCCCCCTGACGCTGGAGCAGTGCCAAGCCTGAGGCCCCCTGACGCTGAGGCAGTGCCAAGCCTGAGGCCCTCTGACGCTGGGGCAGTGCCAAGCCTGAGGCCCCCTGACGCTGGGGCGGTGCCAAAGCTGAAGCCTCCTGACGAGGGGGCAGTGCCAAGGCTGAGGCCCCCTGACGCTGGGGCAGTGCCAAGGCTGAATTCCCCTGACGCTGGGGCGGTTCCAAGGCTGAGGCCCCCTGACGCTGGGGCAGTGCCAAGGCTGAGGCCCCCTGACGCTGAGGCAGTGCCAAGCCTGAGGCCCCCTGACGCTGGGGCAGTGCCAAGGCTGAGGCCCCCTGACGCTTGGGCAGTGCCAAGCCTGAGGCCCCCTGACGCTGGGGCAGTGCCAAGGCGGAGGCCCCCTGACGCTGGGGCAGTGCCAAGGCTGAGGCCCCCTGACGCTGGGGCAGGGTCAAAGCTGAAGCCCCGTGACGCTGCGGCACGCTGGCCGGTCTGGGGCTGCCCAAAGCCAAATGCACCACTGGAGACAGATCCTGAGCAATAACAATGAATGGAAGAGTGAGAAGAAGAAGAGGAGGAAGAGGAAAAGGAAGAGGAGGAGGAGGAGGAAGAAGAAGAAGAAGAAGGAGGAGGAGAAGAAGAAGGAGGAGAAGAAGAAGAAGAATCAGAAGAAGGAGGAGGAAAAATGGAGGATAAGGAGGAAGAAAGGAGGATAAGGAGGAGGATAAGGAGGAGGAAAAGGAGAAGGAGAGGAAGACAAAGAAGAAAAACAAGAACGATAATAATATTAAACATTAATACTGCGCACGTATCGATCCCATAGGATGCTCAAGGCACCCACAAAGTTGTGTTATTACCCTTGCTTTAGCCCAACTACCCTTAGGCCGTTAAAGCCTTCAAGGAATGAATTCCCAATGTGTTCTGAATTCCGAACAGGTACCCATTTACTACACCTGGGTTGAGGGTGGCATATGTAGATTAATGTGTTGCCAAAGGAGATTAGTAACATGGTGCGACTTAGGGTACGTTTATGCTCAACTTATACCGCTTACCATGAGATCCAAAGACCAGTGACATATCCACTAGACTGCGACACCTCAACTAACAGCTTTTTCTCATAACTCCCGCCATGAATACTATGGTTTCGTTGTCGCATATTATATATTTAAGCAAATAAGCCTTAAAAATATATCCAACACATTCTGAAGAAAAAATTGATACCTTATGGGACTCCACCGAACATCCCCCTTCCCTCCCTCTCTTTAAACTGCAACATAATAAAACTTTCACAATCTGAGCCCTGTTTCATTATCAACAACAAATTATGAAATTCTAAGACAATTTTGCTCTCAGCCAATGATATGCCTCAATTTCAGTACCTTATAACAGTTAATTTTGACTTTTTTTTTTTATAAAACAGGGCCCTTTTTTTTTCTCCATCCAAAAATTCGTGGAAATACTATATATCTAGTTATCAATGTATTCTCCTGTCACATCTATATATGAAAAAGAAAAGTGTTGCCAATTTGATGAAGAAACACTAATCAATACCTGGAGCTTGAGCTGGGGCTGTTCCACCAAACGCGAATCCTCTCCCTGGCTGGGCAGTCGGGGCCGCTTGGCTTCCAAACAGGCCCGTACTCTTTCCAAACATGGCAAAGATCTTTCTGCTACCTTCTATACAAGATCTGTACACGAAAGTGAGGAAACAAGAATCGGAACAATTTAATCATAACATAAACAGGAGCACAAATGACATTTTCTATAGAAATTAAAGACCATTCAAGGGAAACAGTAGCCTTTCTAGACAGGTTCTACTACACATTTCTTTCTCAAGGGAGACAAAATACTTGCGGATTGGAAATAAGAATCGGACGATACTTATTTTTGAGGACGTATCTGTCCGTCACTCCGTCCTACTCTAGCAAAGCATAGAGAGTCCATGCTAATGCGTATATACCTCTAGCACTGCATGTATGGGGGAGGCACGGAATGGAATTTTTTTACTTTTAAACATGTAAAATGCTCGACAAATACAACATAACATAGGTTATGTTATATTTGTCTTACATTTTATAGTATTAAATTAATTGTGTAAACTCACTTTTAAAGCCCCTTTTCCTCCTGTTTTTACAGAGTCTTTGCACATTCGAGAGCTCAGCCATAAGGTTGCGGTCGAAATGTGATATTTTTCTATGGCGCGCCATTTCCCCAATAATTCAGATATCGCCGATAAACACTGTTTGTCGAGCGATAAACTATTTTAATCGACTGATAAACAGTGTTATAGGGGAGAAACTTGTATTACCTGACAAACACAGTTCATCTTGATAAATACTGTTTATCGCCGATAAACACCGTTTATCGAGTGATAAATATAGTTTTTCTCAATAATGACTGTTTTTCAGTCCAAAATGGTGTTTATTTAACTCTTATCGTGCCAAGAACACTGTTCTGTGCATGCGCTGGCGTGCCACGCTCACATAATTGGGTTTCTGGTAGCTTGCCATGCACACATAAACTCTCATTCGGTCGCGTGCCACGTACACATTTTCGTGCATAAGTACACACGCTAATTGTTTATGCCTATCGTGCGATGCGCATTGCGTGCACGCATGAATGCTTATTGAATTTGTGTAGGGGTTTTATTGTTGTTTTGATTTTGCATGCTTCACATATACCGTTACATTGGATTGTACATGGACTCAAACTAATGGTAGATAAGCCAACTAGAGGTGAGGCGATTCTTGATTTGATATTGACCAATATGAAAAAACACTACATGTCAGCCGCCATTGAGTCTCCTCTGGGAATGAGTGACCATAACACGGTGATATGGACTGCAAAGAATAGAACAAAGGCTCCCAACAAGGTACTCAAGAAAACATCACGTCCAATGACATATCAAGGGATCCACGAGTTTGGAAGGTGGGTTACATCCCAATCTTGGCAGGAAGTCCTTTCCGTACCAGAAACGGAATCAAAAGCAAACGCTTTTTATACATTGATCCAAGGAGCAGTAAATAAATACTTTCCTCGTAGATCAGTCAAACTGCACAGTGCTGACAAGCCTTGGATGACCGCACGAGTGAAAGAAACCATCAAGATGCGTCAGGAAGCGTTTGCCCAAGGTTCCTTAACCGAATGGAAGCGCTACAAGAAATTGGCCAGCAACCAAATCAAACAGGCTCAGGAGAACTTCTATGACAACTCCTTAGCAGGGCTAAGATCTTCAGACCCATCGAAGTGGCATAGTGGCATTCAGCTCCTCGCCAATAAGATCAAAGAACGCTCTCCTATATCTGTGCCAACGCTCCCTGAAGCCAGTGATGAGGAAATAGCTAATGCCATTAACCAGGAATTTTCATCTACATCACAGGGTCGACTGCCTCTAAGTACTTCCGACCTTCCGACATATCTTCCTTCTCTAGAGCCTCCACAGGTCAAAGTGTGGGAGATGTATTGGGAGCTGAACAGGATCAACATTGAGAAAGCCATCGGCCCTGATGACTTGCCAAACAGAGTTCTCAAGGAATTTGCTTGCGAGATCAGCATACCCATGACAGACATTTTCAACTCCTCTCTCAGGGAAGGCAAGGTCCCTCAGATCTGGAAAGACGCAGATGTTGTTCCCGTGCCAAAAGAGAAACCTCCTGTCATCACAAAACTCAGGCCTGTGTCACTAACATCACAATGTGCGAAGGTTTGTGAGGGATTCGTGGCTAAATGGATCCAACATGACATGGGGCCAAATATTGAACGACATCAGTATGGAAGCCTCAAAGGCTCATTAACCACACACTGTTTGATTGAAATGATGAATCAATTCTACAAGGAATCAGACAAACAGGATTTTGTAGGAAATCTTGTGGTCACAGATTTCTCGAAGGCGTTCGACACGGTAGACCACACCGTGGTTGTAACTAAGCTCTTAAATATGGGAGTCCGTCCGGAAATCATCCCGTGGATCGCCGACTTTTTAACGAATAGGCACCAGAGAGTAAAATACCAAAGCGCTATCTCCTCCTGGAAGAAACTAACCTGTGGCGTTCCCCAAGGAACAAAGATCGGCCCCCTAGCCTTTCTAGCAGTCATCAATGACGCACTGGAGTCGACAGAGTTGCATACATGGAAGTATGTAGACGATCTTAGTATCGGCGAGACCAAGACCGTCAATGAGCCTTCTCACCTGCAGGAAGCTGTCAACGACCTGGTGCAATGGGCTGACCAAAACTACTTGAAACTAAATGCAGCTAAATGTAAACAACTGCAGTTTTGCTTCAAGAGAACCAAACCAGCACCCCCAGACATATCTCTAGACCCGAATGTTTTGGAGGTGGTCAATGAAACGAAAATCCTCGGTGTCTGGGTTCAAGGTGACCTAAAATGGGACAAACAAGTCAAAGAAATGATGTCGAAGAGCAAGAAACGGGTACATATACTGAGCAGACTGAAGAGATTTCGAATCCCACGAGAAGATCTAGTTGCCGTATACAAGTCCTACGTCCGGCCAGCTCTGGAATACGCAGCACCGGTGTGGCACCCTGGACTCACAAAGCTGCAGACTAGTGCACTGGAAAAAATCCAAAAGAGGGCGATGAGGATTGTACTTGGAGCTGAACTCACTTACACAACTGCTCTCAAAGAAGCTTCAATAGAAACATTAGAAGAAAGAAGGCATGACCTATGTACAAAGTTTGCCGAAGCATGTGTACGTTCCCATATATACTCGAATGTGTTCCCTCTCAACGACACAACTCATTCCATGCAGCTCAGGACCAGCCGAACGTACAAATCTATCAATGCCAGGACAAAAAGATATCAGAATAGCTCCATTCCATTTCTGACAACTTGCCTAAATGAATAATGCCAAGGTTGTATAAAAGGGGTGAATAGAGAACAATGTACGCCTAACTCTTTTTGACGAAACCGGTGTCACTATTTATTTAATTATTATTATCGATATATATTTTGAAATCAGAACATATTTCTCATATAATTATATTTCCAGGGGCATAATTGATTATCGAAGCATGAACATGGGTATTACGCATAGCATTACAGGTATCAACAAGGTTATTTTTTGTTCAATTAAGCACTCAAATACCTTATCAATGACTTATTTACCCAATCTCTACTGAATGATGCAAAACCAAATTAGATAATATTATTAATGCAAATATTGTTGTTGTATATATATATATATATTGAATTATTCTTAATGCTAATAATTGTGAATAGTCACTAGAAAGTGATCTAACTATTGATGACAATTCATTGTCTTTGTTAATTATATGGTATTTTAACTAGTAGTATATTTGAAACAATTGTGAAAGAAATATGATATGTTTTTAATTGTAAATTGTCATGCAATTCAGCCCAGGCTGCGAAATGATGATATTAATAAACTGAACTGAACTGAACTGAT